CCTTCCCTGTGTCCAAAGCCGGTTCATAGGAAGGAGCGTGCGCTCCACTGTTTGGATGTGGTTCGCGCTCTTTGTGTTTATTTGGAAGCTACGGCTTCTTTCCGCGGGACCGACTCCCTGTTCGTGCTCACGGAGGGTCCTCGCAAGGGTCGGGCCGCGTCGGCGGCTACCATCTCTAGGTGGCTACCATCTCTAGGTGAATACGTACTGTTGTGACTCAGGCGTACGCCGTTATGGGGCGTGAGCCTCCATTTCCTGTCACTGCCCATTCTCCTAGGGCTGTTGGGGCTTCCTGGGCTTTCCGCCACGGGGCCTCTGTTTCTCAGGTTTGTAAGGCCGCTACTTGGTCTTCTGTTCACACCTTTGTTGAGTTCTACAAGGTGGACGTGTGAGCATCGGCGGATGCTGGTTTGGGGCGCAAAGTGTTGCAGGTGGCGCTTGAGGGGTCTTTTGGTTGTTTTGTTTGTTGTTGCCCATCCCTCAGTGTGTTACTGCTTGGTGACGTCCCTACCATTCAGGATCTACGATCTGTTGCCTGTGTCCTTCAATGAACGGAGAGAAAAGGATTTTACGGTGAGTACAAAAATCCTATTTTCATCAGAAGGGAATTACTCGCCATTGTCATGTGGTTCGGGCAATAAGTCTTTCAGCCACTGCTTCTTTTAGAAAGACGGACTCCTTGTCATCCCGGATGGTCCCTGTAAAGGTGAACCAGCTTCTCGTTCCACTATTTCTAGGTGGCTTAGGGTGTCCCTACACGGTGTGAATTTCGGACAGTTTTTGAGGAACTGGTTGAAATTCGCACAGTATGTGCCGCGTGTCGGCACCCATTCGGACGGCATCCCTTGATTAGCTGGCCGGAAAATCTTCATACGATCAGAGCCGGCAGCCAATGAGCCGCCGGCTCTCTTCAGGTATTCAGGCTCTCTGACAGACGCCAGCGGCCGCTATCAGAATGCAATGCAAACAGCGGGATTCCTCGATCGTCACTCTGCTGGTGTTGATGGAGGAATGAGAAAAATAGAGCAGTGTATGGCCAGTCTTAGACAGATCATTATCAAAGCTTATGGTCTCAAGGGTTGGCTTGCAATCAGGGTGCACTCTGCTAGATCTGTGAGTGCCTCCTGGGCTCTTTGGTATCAGGCTATGGTTTTCCAGCTTTCCAAGGCTGCTACCTGGTTTTCAGTTCACAAATTTTCCATGTTCTATCAGGAGGATGTTCAGTTTTCATCTCATGCCAGATTTGGGTGTAAAGTCCTTCAGGCAGCTCTTAAGTTGTAAGCAGTCCCCAGTTCTGTTTTCGGTGGGCCTGGTAGCTTTTTCTTTGTTGTGTTGCCCACCCCCCCAGTTGGACTGCTTTAGGACATTCCAACCGCTAGTGACCAGCTGTGTCTCTTAAAGGATGAAAAAGAAAATATGATTTTTGTACTTCATGTAAAATCCTTTTCTAGGAGTCCAGTGAGGGGAACAGATTCCACCCCTCTGTTTATGATCATGTTCTTGGTATCGCTTTCCTATAAACCTAGTCATGCTTGGGTGTAGAATGGGTTGTCCTGGACTGGCCATACATTTTTGCTTGCCACCGTCCATTCCTCCTGTAGGCAGTATAACTGTGATAATGATTTCCTGTGTCCCTTAATGGACTCCATGGATTTTATAGTCAGTACAAAAATCCTATTTCTTTTTTAATCCAACCTGCTATAGAAATATTGAAAATTGGGTGGGTTGCTGTGTTTAGTAGAATTATTGTATTACACATTTTAGAGTATACAGTATGTGTGAGATATCATTTGTGTTTTAACATCTAATAAAGTTGCATTGTGTAACATTTCCAGCTCATTATTGTTTTCAGACTTTTAGTATGTTTTGACAGATTATTACCTCTACCTCCTGTCTCTGTAGGTCTGTATGGGCAGGAAGATGTGTGGCCTGCACAGCCTGTGTGTCTAACCAATGATCTAAACTACAATCTTGAGAGCGCAGTGACGTGTGTAGCACAGGATCCTTCACCAGTACAGAACAGGTACATGCCAGCCTCTGTGGTTATCGGTTTGTCGCCCAGGTTTTATTGTGTAGGTGTTCAGTTTTTTTTCCTGGGAGTAACACATGAGTATTTTAAGAGTGTAAGAGGTGGCATGTTTTATAAGTTCTTTAGAAAGTGCAGAATTTTCATAGCAATAGAATGTGATGGATAGGACTCGTGTATATGTCTGCAGTGCATTCTGATCTAAAAGCATTAACCCTTTTCTTGCCACCACTATACTGCTATAATAAAAAAAATAAAAACGCCCCACCAAGCACACCATTGGGCACTCGTTATGGTGTGCACTGTGCACATGAAGTGCAGTGTGTTGCAACACATTGCAGTGCTTGTTGTTTAAAAAAAAAAAAAATACATTTATTTAACATGCTGTGTTGCGATAAAATGTATACTTGTGTCATTTTATCACAAGGCACATTAATGCAGAACACACAAGGCACTACAGATTGGGGTCGCCACAACACATGGGTGTAATACCAGCCTCCAGATTCTAAGCATAAGTTACTTATTTACAGATTTGCTTACCTTTCATTTTCACCGTTTCGCAAAAAGGCACAATCTAAATTTTACTAATACTTCAATGCAGTTGTATCTTTTAGATTAAATAGGAATTTTGTAAGCTTTGTAGTCTTTGTGTGCGCTAATAAGGATTTTTGTGGATTATTGAAAATATAATTTTTAGAGATGCACCGAAATAAAACATTTCAAAAACGACACCAAAATGAAAAAAACGAAACCGAATTTTTTTTTTTTAACTTTTTTCTAATTCTTTTTAATGTATTTTTATTAAATATTTTTATGTTTTACTTTTTGCAGCCCCTGTTTATAAATGAACAGGAATCCTCTATACTGAGTGTTCCTCTTCATTCATAACTTGAGGACATAGTATGTTTACTATAGCCAAGTGCTGTTAGTGTGGTTATAGCCCCTTGCTACTACAGACATAGTACTTAGGGTTAAAGGGGTTTTGATAGGTTTCTTATACCTGATCTACATATTGAACTTAAGGCATGTGTGCCAGCCAGACACGCAATGTCCTTTTTAGTGGCATCTAGGAGATTGTCACATGGTATGAATAAAGCGGCCTGCTGGAGGACCGGAGGATCCCTGGTTGGGCCCCTGCTCTCTAGGCTGTCAGTTACAAAGCCTGGCATGCCTCTCTGTGCCTTGACTCACTCGCCTCCATTACATTTAGAGATGTCTCAGGGTGACGGGAGGACACAAACTAGCGTCCTCCCGTCACCCTAAGCTCAGTATACCGCGAGCTACAGCTCGCGGTATACTGGGGCGCCGCAGCTGAAGCTGATCTTGACAATTATGTCTGGATCCGCCCTGCTGCGTGACTGACAGCTGGATCTGCCTATCTAGAGGCAGAGCCAGCTGTAAACGCCCCCTCCCCGTCCGTTCCGCCAGTCAGTGCTGGCAGATCGGAGCGGGGAATCCAGCCCCTCCCCTGTCACGGCAGAGAGCCGTGACAGGATTGAGAGGTGAGCGAACGCCTGTATGTGTTCACTCACCTCCCGATCTACTGAGCCGACCTGTGACACAGTCTCATTGTCACAGGTCGGCTAGAACTATGAGGTGAGTGAAAAGCACTCGCCTTAGTTCTCCTTTAACTCCGCTCATATTCATAGATATCCAGAGTCCTATTAAAACTTGTTTGCAACATGTTTCTAAAAAGTGTCCTTTTGATCTGCTGCATAACAATTTCTGTTTATATGTAACTATTGTTTGTTTCAGTTTCATCAATTGGAATTCAACACGTGATGGGCCCTTTCCTGGCATGTATGGCTCACTGGAGTTCAATGACTTTAACGCTTATAGTGAAGGTATTGCTGATAAGTCACACATCAGAAATGCTCTGCACAGAGATATCTCTATGGTTTTTGTTATACTTGAAATGTAATCTTTTCTTAATGCAAAACTCCAAGTAGAAAGCTAAATTCTAAATTTTTGGGCAAACGAATATTCTGACAGTGGCACACCCACTGCTGTCAGTGTACAATAGCCCAGTGGGAGATTGACCATCCACGACCTTTAGCTTGAATTGAGGTATCTGTTATATTTTTTTTTTTCCCCATGCAGCCCACAGATGTGTGGCCAGCTTAGACATGTAAAACGGTAAAGATGTATGCATTTTAACTGAGTATTTAGCGGTTTGCCTGTTTGAAGACATGTTTGAAGTCCATCGTAGACAAATCAAATCCAGCACCAGATCATTCAAGCCTCCGTAGCGGAGGGCACAGCTAGTGGTGATATGGTAACTTGTATAAAAAGAGAGAGCCAGCACTCACAAAAAAACCTTAAAAGAGAACTATGAGGTGAGTGCTTTTCATTCACCTCATAGTTCTAGCCGACCTGTGACAATGAGACTGTCACAGGCGGCTTAGTAGATCGGGAGGTGAGCGAACACATACCGACATTCGCTCACCTCTCGATCCTGACATAGCTCTCTGCCGTGACAGGGGAGGGGCTGGATTCCCCCCTCCCCGCTCCAATCCCCCAGCGCTGACTGGCGGATCGGCCGGGGGAGGGGGCGTCTCAGTATACCGTGAGCTGCAGCTCGCGGTATACTGAGATTAGGGTGACGGGAGGGCGCTAGTTTGTGTCCTACCGTTACCCTAAGGAGAACTATGGGGAAAAGCCTTAACCCCATAGTTCTCCTTTTAAGCTTTTATTGAGGTCAAAGTAGAAAAATCATGTAGTGGAAGCAAGCATAAAACCAACATTTTGGGGTCACAATGGACCCCTTTCTTCAGGTAGCCAGCAAAAATTGGCAAGGGTCCTTTTTTTAGCCCTAAAACGTTGGTGTTATGCTCACTTCCACTATATGATTTTTCTACTCTGACCTCATTTAAATGTTTGTGGTCTTTCTCTGAAAGCTGGCTTTCTCATTATACATGTTTGAAGTCCTGCCGGGTGACCATTGTTGCCTCCATAACGGAACAGAGAGTGTTATTCACAGGAGTACCGGGTTAAAAATAAAGGGAAAGTGTCTGAACAAAGAAAACGAATGCAGCCAGTACATTCAAGGACTTGTAAGCTGCAATATATTTGTTTTTGGGTTCAGGTTTTTTCTTGTATAACTGATCATAAAGTCACCATTTCAGTAATCTTTAGGACCTGTGTTGGCATCAGACTGGTTTTCCCATACAAGCCGATGGGAATACAAAACTTGGGCCAAGTCCAGTTCAGACGGAGGTCAACTGCAGGTCACATGAACCTGTCAGTGAATACTGAATGATCTTAAAATCGACTCAAGCTGTTAAATAAATGCCATCAACCAAAGCCGATTGACATGGGCCCTTTAGTGTGTAAAAATAGAAAATATTTTCAAGGCAATGACCATAATTGTAGATATTTTCACAGCAACATATGTGCCTGCATTTGCTGCATAGCAGTCAGCAGAACTGACTTTTTCTCTTGACAGTTGCTGTTTCCCACATTCATCATAGTGGCAGCATTTTATGCAGCACATCTAATGTCTCTAGAATCGCACACATTTGGCCCAATTCATACAGAAGTTACGTGACCTAGCAATAGTTGTTTGAGCGAGAAGATGGTAACTGGAATCCTTAGGGGCGGGGGGACTTGTGCAAACACAGAGCACACAGACTTCATGGAAATTGGGCCTTTTGTAAGTTACTGGTTGTGACAACTGAGCTGTTCACAAGGAATGCTGTAAAGGCATTAAGACACTAATCTGCTCACCTCTTTCTAATACAGTAGCAAAAATGTAGAGAACTGCCATGTAAAAATGTGGACATTTTTTTAAAATGTGTGTTCACTGAAACTATACTTTTCTTTAATATGCAAACTGGATTGGGAAATGAAACTTCTGCGTTCCTCCTATTTTACAAAAAGCAGAACTGTTTGCATGAAATTTGTGGCAGCAGCCAGTCCACAGTTTAAACTCATTGGTCTGTTCATCCTTTTGGGAGGTTTTTTAAGCTGTTTTGAAATACTTGTTTGTTCAAAAATGACTGGGTTTCAGTTAAGTTTATATAGAGGAAGTAAGAATGGGATATTCGTTAGTTTGGATTGAAGTGATGATTTTTTTTTTTGTGTATAGGTGGGTTGGTGAGAAATAACCAGTTTATTAAAATCGTATGTTCTGTGAATCAAACTGTTTCTAGAATTATTTTGTCATTCCGTATGTCAGGATATTAAAGGAGAACTATGAGGTGAGTGCTTTTAACTCACCTCATAGTTCTAGCCGACCTGTGACAATGAGACTGTCACAGGTCGGCTCAGAAGATCGGGAGGTGAGTGATCACATACAGGCGTTCGCTCACCTCTCAATCCTGTCAAGGCTCTCTGCCGTGACAGGGGAGGGGCTGGATTCCCTGCTCCGATCTGCCAGCACTGACTGGCGGAACGGACGGGGCGGGGGCGGGGACAGCTGGCTCTGCCTCTAGATAGGCAGATCCAGCTGTCAGTCACGCAGCTGGGCGGATCCAGACATAATTGTCGGGATCCGCTTCAGCTGCGGCGTCTTAGTATACCGCGAGCAGTAGCTCACTGTATACTGAGCTTTGGGTGACGGGAGGACGCTAGTTTGTGTCCTCCCGTTACCCTAAGGAGAGCTATGGGGAAAAGCCTTAACCCCATAGTTCTCCTTTTAAAGGGACTTTCTTTATTATGCTTTGAGGGACAGTCTTTAACCTTTGGGTTATGCTGACACCTACAGGAAGGCTTGACACTGGCAAGCTAATAACTGTAGACAATCCCAGAATAACCCCACCTACTACCAACATACCTTAGTTTTTTTTACTAGTGTCCTAGGAGGATGGACGTTTTCAGCTACCACTTTTTTTTTAATGCTGCGGTTAACGCAATAGGACTGAGCACTAACCGTATCCACTGTGGGGTGAGTGGGGCTTTGTGCTCTGTTGTGTGTCACTTGGTCCTCTGCCCTTTCATGTGAGGTCTTTAACACACACACACTTTTTTTTTATTCTTTGGAAATGCTTTATAAATACAAATCAGAGCATAACAAATGGCAGTGAATATAAGCCCTTATGTATAATCCTATTAAACTGGTTAGGAGATACCATTAATGAATCAAGCACTGATTGCATGGTTCTGTACCTCTGTAGCATTGGAACACATTATTTGGGTATAGAGGAGGATGGATTCATAGCTGTAGATACAAATGGTTCCTGGGATATACAATTCATGCTGTATCTCATTATATATCACCCATGTGTTAGATGTGGCACTTCCTGTACATATTTGCAAGTTCTCCCTCTAGTGTTTAGCTGTAAGGCCTGGTTCACACCTGGGTGTTTTGTAGCGCGTTCAAACGCTCTGCAAAACGCTCTAACACCGAAAACTCATTGTTTCCTATGTGTATGGTTCACACCTGGGCGTATTGCAGGCAGTATGAACGCGCTACAAAACGCCCTACGCCCAAAGAAGTACAGAAGCTTCTTTGGGGCGTTTTTGTCGCGCGTTTCCATTGGGATACAGCCAAGTAGCCCTCGGAAACGCGTGTTTGTTGCGCGTTTTAACCGCAAATCGCGGAACAAACGCGTGTCACACGCGCATATTCGATACGCCTAGGTGTGAACCCAGCCTTAGATGCAAAGTGGTAGTATAAACTGCACCCTTCGTGCATGACAAATGAAAACTAATTACACAATAAGCCACATAATGTATAGTTCCTGCTCATTCTAACACATTTGCATTTCCACAGCACCCTATAAGCATTTAGCAAAGGTTTTTGTTGCATACATTTGCAAATATAGGTGAAGCTACACTATCATGTCAAGGCACCCCTGTGAAGTGTAGTTGCTAACTCTAAACTATCTTTGCTCAAAACTATGGGACATGTATAGCTATGCATAAATTGACAGGTAGGAAGCCAATTTCTATGCATACAGAAAGAAATACAGTGACAACTGGAGTCTACAGAGGTATGTTTTTACCATCAAACCTCATGCTACCTTGCTAATTCATTCTCTGATTGGCTGTCAGTGACAGCTCAGTCTGACGGCCAACAAGGTTCAGAGTATGTACTGCTAGATGTCAAATGTGGGACCCATGCCTAAGAGCAATCTACAGATTGTGGGCTCCTAGCTGTTAAATGGAATTTGCCTTTTACCCACAGTGATGAATTATGAATTATTATAAGACAAAATGCACAAAGTTATGAAATCCACCAGTTTAGGCATACAATAAAAATTGTGTGTGCCAATACTGTGTTGTTCTTGCAGAAAACATGAACTACCACAATGGTTTCTCGTGCCCTGAAGTCCAGAATCCGGCTTTCATTGATCATTGTCAGTCTACCTGGAACATGAATCCACCAGAAACGCCACCACCGCCTCCACCTGCACCTTCCATGCCAAACTCCTGGGAACCAGCAAGTTATGCTAGCACTTCTGTAAGTAAATTCCATTACCATACTGTTTATACCATACTTGTTACCTTGAACCCTTTGGATCATTTTCATTTGTACCTGTGTTTAGTTGCAAGTTTTAGATTATTAGATAGAAGAGGTTAGGATAAAATTCTATCATTACACCCCACCTGCCATTACATGCGGTTAATTGACAGGTCTAAAGCTGGCTATGGATATTAGTCTCCCAATCCAGCCCCCATTAGGTGATGGTCCTAGTGGCAAGCATAAGTTTTTATGTTTTTTTTTTTAATCACAATGCAGTTAGTGTTTCTACCTTCCTTGTTTGGCTCATATGATATTTCTGTTGTACATTTACAGCCATACCTCTCCAGCACAAGAAGTTTGTCTCCCATGTCTGGACTGTTTGGATCCATCTGGGCTCCACAGAACGATGTATTTGATGGCTTCTGCCCTGTTAGTGGCTCCCCTCCACATTCTGACCACATTGGAAGTCACTCCATGATGTGCAAGCAGGAGTATTCTTCCAGATTCAACCCTTTCCATGCCTATATGAATCTGGACATTTGGACATCTGCCAACAGAAATGCAACATATCCAGTGTCTAGGGACTCTGGATACTGTGGGAACATGTGAACAGGATATGCGTGCAAACCAATGTGATTAGTTGTATGTGCGGTTTTTGGTCACTAGAGTGAGCAAGTCGATGGAATAGGATACAATGTTGGTGAATATTTTGGCACTTTTTATATCGATAATAAATTATGTATGTCTTAAAAAGTATACCATATAATTATGAGGGCTTCCATAGCACAACACACATTAACAGACCACTTAAGTGGGAAAAAAAAGTCTGCAGTGCCATCTTGTCCTTAGTTTAGAAGGGAGGTTCAAATACTAAGGATTGTATCATTTAGAGCAAGTAATTTCATTCAAGAAAATTGCCTGTGCAGTCAAGGGTTCCCAGTAGGTTATACATAAAACCCCTGCAGCTATGAAAACTGATGATTAACCCCTTCATGACTGAGGCCTTTTATTTTTTTTGCACCCATGTTATATTTCACATTTTGGGCCTTCGAATTATTTAAAACCCCCCAAACATATATATTTTCTGAAAGCCAAAACCCCATAGAATAAAATGTCAAAAGCCGACGGGAGTCGGCTTAAACCGCACCAATGCCAGGGACATAAACTATACGTCGCTGGTCATGAAGGGGTTAATGTAATGCCTCTTGATCGCTAGCTTAACTGCCATAGTTATCATTTTCCACCCTACCTTGCCTACCCTGCCATGGGATGCTCCAGCCCTTGTATGAGTTGGAGGATGGAACCACATTGTACAGCGAAGGTAGCAGACATTTGATCCAGCTTCAGCACAAGAGTCATTTGAAAGGTAAGTATATTGCCTATTCTATTTTAGACTACCTTGTTTCTAGCAGTGACTTTGTGGTGATAGGGTCATTTTAAGCATCATCAAGTTAAGCAAGCTTAACAGGCAGTGCAGTCTCCTGTCGTCATAAGGATTTGGTAGGAAAGGAAAATTATTGTAAGAACTTGATAATTTTCTGTAATCATGTATCGTAGGGAGCAGGAAAGAACAGCAGGCACAAATACTGCTCAAAAATATTACTACTCAGAAAAGGCAGACTTAACGACTGGTTTGCCAAACTGACAGGAGGAAGCAGAAATCACATTGTTTAAAATGCCTGATCAATGTGTTGACTGAGACTAGCAGTCTGCCTTGCAGATCCCTTCCTTGGGAGAATTTTACCTTCAAAGCCAAGGTTGCAAATCGTTTTGTCTCATGTCCTTTATCTGTTATGTAGGTACATAGTGATCAAACAGACATATCTAGTCTGCTATAGTCAGATTGTGAAAAAATAAGAATTTAATGCTGGAAAAATAGACGCCTAATTTAGATGCTATACAGAGGATTGTGGTATCTTAAGCCAAAATTCTGCATAGAAAAGTAATTTGAAACACCAAAGAAACCAGACACCATAACCTGAAAACTTGATATACAACCACAAAAAAAAGGCTTAAAATGGGGCTTTTTAGGTGTCATTCCAAGAATGAAAAGAGCATACATACAAAACATCACGTTTATTGAAAATAATACAATAAAACAATGTTGAAGACTAAAACCAATGCTCATAGTTAACCCCTTCATGACTGAGGCCCTTTTTTCAATTTTTGCACCCATGTTATATTCCACATTTTAGGCCTGAAAATGATGTAAAACCCCCCAACATTATATATTTTCTGAATGCCAAGACCCTATAGAATAAAATGGTGGTAGTTGAAAATTTTTATGTTGCGCAATATTAGCGCAACTCCTTATTAAACCCCAAAATTTAGTGACAAAAGTACCAACGACATCTTCCCACAGAGTATTAATAGCTTATCCAAACATCAAGCCTCCCTGGATCCTACCAGCACATTGTTCTTTACAATTAGCTCCTTACACTTATTGATCAACAATTCACACAAAAATATAAATGTTCTTATAGGACAAAATTATTCCTTAAATGTGCAGTAGATGCAGCCCTCTGCGTGTTTTGCCAAAGCTTCTGCAGGACGATCGGAGGCAGCCTATAATATTTGCAAGATGAATGCTGGTTGTTCCATAACAAATTAAATTCACACATTTTAAATTTTGAGTGGATATTTACATCTCAATGTAATGTAAATTCAGTTTTTTAAGCTTGGTTGTACATAAATCCACATACCTGGAGCATGTCACCCAGCTAGAATTCCAGAAAAGGCTGCAGAAGTTCACTTTTTTTTTTTTACACTCTTATCAGTTTGTGTTGCTCATCACGTTGAACTTTCATATCCTACACAGTGCTGGATAATAGCCAGGTTATGTCTTTGGTTACTCTTTCCATTGTTCAGATCCACAGGGCGTTCTGTCTTAAGCACTGATAAGTGGAACAACAATATAAGAAGGCTTTGTAATGCCTACTGTTTGTGGGAGGTTGTAGGCACTGGTTTTGAGGTTTGCAGGTGGTATAGCAGCCCATTCGTCTTGTCAAAATGCCTCTAGGTAATGCAAAGTCTTTGGTTGTCTTGCATAAACCGTAGGTTTGAGATCTCCCCAGAGTGGTTTGATCATATTAAGGTCGGGAGACTGGCCACTCCAGAACCTTTCATTTTTTTTTTTTTGCTGTAACCACTGGAGGGTCAACTTGGCCTTGTGCTTAGGGTCATTAGCATGCTGAAAAGTCCAAGAGTGTCCCATACGCAGCAGTCATGCAGAAGAATGCAAATTGTCTGCCAGTATTTTCTGATAACATGCTGCATTCATCTTGCCATAAATTTTAACAAGATTCCCTGTGCCTTTAGAGCTCACACATCCCCCAAAACATCAGTGAGCCACCACCATACTTCACAGTGAGCTATAAACCTTGTTGACCCCTCTTCAAACATAGCTCTTATGGCTGTGACCATAAAGCTCTATTTGGGTCTCATCACTCCAAATTAAAGTGTGCCAGATGCTGTGAGGCGTGTCAAGGTGTTGAGCATATTGTAACCGGGCTTTTTTGTGGCATTGGCGCAGTAAGGGCTTTTTTCTGGTAACTCAACCATGCAGCTCATTTTTGTTCAAGTATCGTCAGAGCAGCCTGCATTTTTCCTGAGGTTACCTGTGGGTTTTTCTTTGTATCCCAAACAATTCTTCAGGCAATTGTGTCTGCGATCTTTCTTGGTCCACCTGACCTTGGCTTGGTATCAAGAGCTCCCTGAAATTTCCACTTCTTAATAAGGGATTGAACAGTACCGACTGGCATTTTCAAGGCTTTAGAGATCTTTTTATATCCTTTTCCATCTATATAAAGTTCCATTACCTTGTTATGCAGGTTTTTTTGACTGTTCTTTTCTGCTCCCCATGGCTCAGTATCTAGCCTGCTCAGTGCATTCACGTGAGAGCTAACTCAGACTATTTATACACAGACACTAATTGCAATTTAAAACACCACAGATGTGGGAATTTAACCTTTAATTGTAATTTTAACCTGTGTGTGTGTGTGTGTGTGTGTGTGTGTGTCACCTTGTGTGTCTGTAACAAGGCCAAACTTTTGATCAGGGCCATTTGGGTGATTTCTGTTATCATTATGATTTCGAAAGGAGCCAAACAACTATGATAATAAATAGCTTCATATGATCACTATCCTTAAAAGAAATACAGTTCTTTGGCATGATATTTTCATAATTGATGCCAAAAGTTCATGATTTCTGCCAGCGTAGGCAAACTTTTGAGCACAACTGTAATCAATGTTGTTCACTTCACCTGTCAGTGGCCTTAATGTTATGGCTGACCAGTGTATATCCACATTAATTACGATGTCCACCATGTAACGCCTCATCAATCACGATAACCTGACACCTGTTGATGTGTACATGTACTCCTGTAGCTGAATTACAGATACCCAGAGTGTGGTAATTTTAAACACAACACCAGGGATCCAAAGTGAGGTCTTTGACCAAATATGGTCAATGATGTTACCCATGATCCTCTGTTTGACCTTCACTGGGACTGCACTGAACTCAGGTCTAACCTGAATCGCATTCGTAAATCTAATCTGTCCCCGTTCTATCCAAAACTAAAAAACAAATATTAATAAAGGAAGATTTCAAATCAAAAAGGTTAATCTAGGCAACATAATAGTTTTATAAACTACCTAATATGGCCAAAAGCAATTTGTTCCATTTTAAAAAGAATCCGTGATAAATGGATTTATGAAATTAAGTGTATGCAAACAAATTATCTTGGAAGATTTAGGCCCATATACAGTACCTAGATGGAACCAGAGGCTGCCATTGCTTCCCTTTTAAAAATGCTAGCTGCCTTCAGATCAGCATGACAGCCAGAGGGCTAGGTTTTTTTTTCGAGGGGAGGCTAGAGGTTGCAGCAGTGACAAACTTCATACTTCCTCAGTGCAGGTTTTCTTTTACTCCTAGAAGAAGAATATTGCCAGTTATGGCAACCCCAAAAATTGATGCATTATAGACTGGATCCCGCCCTCCTCCCTGCATAGTTGCCAGATATCTTATATTTTGCAAGTCCTAATATGTTCATATGTGCAAAATACAGTCAACTTTTTTTGCCGGTTTGGTTTTGAATTTCGGCTAAGTCCGGCTGAAATACTAGCAGTGTGGTGTTCTTGCAGTTGGTCTCACCAATTGAAGAAGGTGGTCTGAAAATTCTTGGGCAAACAGTAAATGCAGCCAATCACCT